GGGATCCTTGTCCTTTCCTCTGTTCATTGGAATTTAGAAATCACAAATGTTATGATTTTGATCTAAAATAGCCCCAAAAGGCTCATGTTTGGATGTGGGCTCTGGTTGGAAGGGGAGAGTCACTGGAGGCAGCATGACTTGGAAGAGTATATTCTTGTCCCTAGCTGCTCCTCTCTGCATCTGGCCACCATGCATTGAACAGCTTTTGTCTTCCATGCCATTTCTGCCTTGGAGTAAGTTTACCTTGGACTGAACCCACTGAAACTATGAGGCAAAATGTACCTCTCTCCTCTTTTAAGTTGTGGCTGTCAGGTATTTTGTCCCAGTAATGGGAAAGTGACTAATACAGAAAATTGGTATCAGGAGTGGAACCATTACAATGACCATCTGACCAGATGATTCAGATGTGTTTGGAACTGGTTTGTAGGAGGAGTTTCGAAAACTTTGAAGATGTTGGCTAGAAAAGGCCTAGAATGTTGTGAGCAGTGCTTGATTTGTGATACTGGTCAGATCTCAGAATACCAGAATGCTGATAGGAATGCAGACAGTAAAGGCCAGGCTAAAGAGGTTTCTGTTATGAACAAAGACTCCATTGGTAGTTGAATTAGAGACCATTTTGCCCATGTCTTGAAACTAAAAGACAGTTTAAGGATGGCAGACTATCATTCAGTCTGAGTACTGCTGACTGCTTTTAGCCAGATCTTCAGTAAGAATCAGGAACAAATGGCGGAACTTACAGATTTAGAAAATTTGCACTTTGATTAGAAAGGAGGTACCTGCAAAGATGGAGCAAAGAGGATAATTACTGCAAATGTTAGAGCATCAAAAAGAAGCCAAGTACTTTGTACAAGGACAAGAAGAAAGATATCTTGAAGGCATTCCAGAAGTCAAGAACTCACCCATTACAGGCTCAAAGGTACAAAACTAAATTTTTCACTTGAGAAGAGTCCATGGGACATATGCTCATTCACAGAGCTGTCAGCCAATGTATCCCGAAGTTTAGCCATCTAGGCACTTAGAGGCTGCTGCAGCCATGGTCCAAAGGAGCCTAGCTAGTGGCCAGCCCTGATGCCATCCACCCGATGCTAGATTTTCAGTCACACAAAGTGCAAGAGTTCTGAGGTCATAGAAGCTTCCACCCATATTTGAAAAGGCTTTGAAGGCCAGCCACCCCACCCACCCCACAATGTGTAACAGGGTTACAGTCCCTGCCAGGAGCCCATGAGAGAGCAATGCGTGAGAATAAAGCTGAAAGTGCAGTGGACACACCAGGAAGTTAAAGATGCCTCGCATCCCTGACTCTTTTCTCTTGCTGCTTGCTCACCATGTGGTAAACAGTTTTCTTCCACCATTCTGCCATGAGATTTCTGCCTTGGAGCCAGCTGACCATGGACTGAATGCACTGAAACTGAGCCAAAATAACCTCTCTTTAAATTGCTGGTTTCAGGTATCTTTTTCCAGTAACAGGAAAGTGATTAATGCAGAGTTTCCCATTAAAATATAAACTTAAGAAATGTTGGCTTTTCTGTGTCACTTTTGTATTTCTAATGAGAGAATATGTCTGACACAAAATGTTCAATGAGTATTTACTGTGTCAATGAATAACAAAGTGCTTAACCAGTAGTTCACATAGAAAAAATTTCAGATACATTCCTTCATGAGTTAATGATGGGTCTGAATCTATGAAGGTAGTTATTGGTTTTGCTTTTGTGTGTGTGTGTGTGTGTGTGTGCGCGCGCGCGCGTGCACTGAGGATCAAACACAGGGCTTCTTTACACACTAGGTGAAACTCTACCCCTGAACTACACACTTGGGTTCTTTAATCTTGTTTTGTATCGATATTTAATATTTCTTGATGCGAGTTCAATAGAAGTAAATAAATTTAACACTAGCTAAATTGTGAATATAAAACTATACAGGAGGGATACAATTAAACAATTTATGTATTAAATGTGAAGAATTCAAAACAAGTGTATGCTTTAAAAGTTTTAAAAACATTTGAACATATGGTCTTTCAATTTAATCCTCCACTAATTTAATGATTAGTCAGATGCGAATTTGTGAACTTGAAGGAAAACAAAGTGGCCACAGTTACATACTGATGAGTAGATCTAGGAAAGAAATCAAGTTCTCCAAGGCGG